TCACACACACTCACATGTCCATGTCTCTTCATTGATTTCACACAAATCAAGGCTATTTCCCTTTGAAGATTCAGGTTCTCTAGCCTGTATGCAATAACACAGTCGGATGTTCAGGTGTTTTAAATAGTATTCTGTATCAATTGACTGATGAACAAGAAATGCCTTTGTGTGTTTTTACTTCCTGTCATTTTCTTTACCCAATTCAGGGCTGAGGAAGAGCTTATCCCAGCTGACAACAGGCGCAGGGCAGAATACATGCTTGGTGGGACACCAGCAAACACACACCAGGGCCAGTTTTCCCAGAAGCTAAGTCAGCTACCAGTATTGTAAAGGAATAAGTAAAGGTTGAAATCTTTACTTGTTCCTTTGCAGTCTACACATGGTGACACTGCTGCCAACTACCAGTACAGTATGTCTTTGGACTGTGGGGTAAAATGAAGCATCTGGAGAAAACCTATACAAACCTGAGGAGAACATTTAAATTTCACACAGATACCCACGTCAGGTTCAGAATTGAACCCAGGGTCCCAGTCCTGTGAGGCAGCAAAGCTGACCACTGTGTGACCCACTCAGAAATTTCACCCTACATATATATATACACACACATTACTAATGACTGAGCATGACAAATTGTCCAATTTCAGAAAAGGTTCCATTTACAGACAGATATTATTGCTACTATACTATTATTACTGCTACAATACAGTTTATGGAATATTAGTAAATACATTAAAATGTAATCACTTATAACTAAGAAATGTATTTAACACCATTAAACAGGTCCTCACGGCACATTCACACATACTGTACATCAATAAAATTAGTCACACCTCATAGGAGATGCTTAAACGACAGAGTTACTGAAATATGTAGTTAATATTTATAAGCCCTCAGTTACTCTTTATATAAAGTGTTACAGGGAGTTATGTTTAAAACATCCTGACCAGGTCCTCGATCTGCTCTCTTGCTTCCCTGATCTTGAACAGGTGCATTTCTCTGACACCCCCAGAGTATGACACCTCCCTCAACCAGCCCATTCTCCCCCATGCTAGGCAAATCAGCCTGGCTGCACTCAGCTCAGACTGTCCCCGGGCTATTTTTGGCTATGAAATCGCAAGATGTGGCGAGAAACTGAAGCTGTTGCTGGGAGGATTTGCATAGACAGGATGAGCCCTGCAGCTGGGCCAGGGCAGGACAGCCCAGATGGAGAAGAGTCTCCAGGGGCTCCTCTCCCTCTAACACTGCTGTCTACATCATAACACAAGGGCTGGGTTTAACTATCTTCTACCTGCTCTGAGAGTCTGTCTCTCTCTCTGGCACCCAGAACAGCTGACAGGTCCCTTTTAAAGACTCTAGACAATTATTAATATTCATGTGCACTAATAATTCTATTGAAGCGTAACTCAACAAAGTCAAACTGTAATGAAGACTGAAAGAAACACTAAATCTACTTGATGGTTAGAAGCTTGATAATCCAGGGTTTTAGTGCTGACTCTTCAGCTCACTGTATATACTCTGCAGCTGATAGTTTGTGCTCTGTCCTGTTGTCATTGAGAAAATTGATAAGACTGAAGGTACTGATGATCTGTGTTCTAGGTCTTACCCAGACAAAATAAAA